TAAATAAAAAATAAATAAATAAAAAATAAATAAATAAATATTTCAACCATCATTATCTGTACACATTAAAATTTATTACGAAGCAAAAGAATAATCATAATTTACAGTGTTCCACTGTAGCGACAAACAGAGTTCAACAGAATACATCGAATCTATATGTTCCTCATAGGGCAAAAAATTAGTTCAGCTGAAAATTTTCTAGCAATTTTTGACAAAATAAATCAAATCTCATAAGCAAAGTTGTATTTATTGGACAGAGCTAACCAACAAGAAAAAAATTCTCAAGCACCAACACTAACTCCAAACAAAAAAATGAAATAAAAATAGAAAATAACTCGAGTAAACATTGCACACAGCACTTTTCAGGTATTTTGGCTCATTTACTGGATTCTTGCATATAGCGTTCAACCAAGATTCATTCTGCCTTCAGTCATACGACAGTCTAATATTGGTTCAGTTCAATTGTAACACTTTTAAATGCACTGGTAAATGTTACACCACAGTCTAACCAAAATGAAAAAGAAAAACATAAAGAAAAGCAAAAAAAGTGAAAACACAGCCGAATTCGATAGATCCGGGCCATCTAAAACAGTAAGAGGTGGCGAAGAGGAGAAAAGGGGCAATAAAAATAAACTTAATTTTCATCATTTTCACTTGAATATTACTCAAAAAATGTCAGCAACTAATGTTGAACATCACAGACTGCAGCAACAAGAAATAATCTATCCCATAGGTCTTGGTTTTCCTCCATTGTATTTCTGCCTCTTTGCAGTTCCCAACTCAGTTGCAAATAACGACATCGACAACAGCAGCAGACTTGGGCAAAAGTGACCCCCCCCTCCCCACCCCCCAAAGATACTGTCATCAAAAACAATTCAAGCAGCCAACATCCTGTCAGACATTAGCGAAAACAAGATTACCTTTGAAATTCAGAAGTACATGACAGCCAGAAGTTGCCGTTTCCGTCTTGCATCTTTTAAACAACGACAATCATCGCTAACGTGCCAAGCAGTCATCAACAAGACCGTTAAAAAATAAAAGCCAGTAATTTTCTTGTTTCTTTTAAACTTATCAGAAATGCGACATTAAACGGCAAGCTTGAAGCTTGAACCAGCATCAAATGCACAGTTATCAGGTATCCTCTTCTTTGAAAATGAAAAAAAAAAAAGTAAAAAAAAAGTAAGCTCTTCAAAAAAATTGTTTACTGTAAAAATACTAAAGATAAACAGAACGTTGAAGGAAGTAGACGTATTTAAGCAATTCATCTCCCCTATTATTCCCATACAACCTTAAATTTCAACGTTCCAAAAAATTCTTTTATTGCAACTTTCTTCTTGATTGTTCAAAGTGATAAAAAAAAAAAAAAGCACAGAATAAACGAAAATAAATGAAAGAACAAATAAACGAGTAAATGACGAATAAGCAAATGAATGAATGAATGGATAAACGAATAAGTAAGTGGTGAGGGGTGGGAAAAAATATAATAAAATGAGTGAAGCAATAAGTAAATGAATAAAAAGCGAAAATGAAAGTACTTCTGTAAAACACTGAGTAAAAAATAGAGAAGCAAATTTAGAGTGCCTTTAAACTGAGAAAAAAGAAAAAACTGAAGGAAATGTTTCAGTACCTGGAATATAACTTTACTAAAGGAAACAAAATTATGCAAAAAATGCAGCCTTTTTCCACCCCTTTTAATGGGCTTTTTTTTTCCAGATAACTAAAATAAAAAATAAAGAAAAGGAACACGCACACACATAGACACACACACACGATAAAAAAAAAGGAACTGAAATCAAAATCAGAAAGAAAAAAAAAAACGGACTTTTTTCACCATACTTACAACAAGGAAAATACGAAAGGGAATAAAAAAATTCAACTAAACCGCCTTCTTTCTGCTCCGGCAACTAAACTCAACTTCACTTTCACTCACAGATTTGCATCGGCTTTTCTGGTATCCATCACCATCGCCGTCATGACCACTACCAGCAGTAATCACCAAACGGCAACAGTAGCAGCAACAGAAATACTAAATACGAGAAGCAATACACAAAGTTCTGCCAACTTAATCGTATCCCACCCCCTATGAAGAAACTGAAGAGTTCATTCGCTGCTTCACAAATGTCATCTCATGGTTATTGAAACAGGTCT